AATAAACCCAACCAAGGAGCTGAAAGACCTATACTCTGAAAATGATAAAACACTCATGAGAGAAATTGAAGAAGGCATAAATGAACAGAAATCTATCCCATGCTCATGGTAAGGCAGAATTAATATTGTCAAAATAGCCATCCTGCCCAAAGCAATTTACATATTCAGTGCAATGCCTATGGAAATACAACTGGTATTTTTCAATGAACTACAGCAAATAATCTAAAAATCATATGGAATCATGATAGACCCCCAAAGAGCCAAAGCAATCCAGAGAAAGAACAAATTTGGGAGTATTATGCTCCTTAATTTCAAGCTATATTACAAAGTTATGGTACTGGCATAAGAACAGATGCATAGATCAATGGAACAGCTTTTTGCTAATCCATTTTCTGTATCTAGATGCCTGTATTCTTCTTCATTTATCCAATTCAGTACTCCATTTACAATTGCATTAAAAAGAATACAATACTCAAGAATAAACCTAACCAAGGAGGTGAAAGACCTTTACTCTGAAAACTACAAGACAGTCATGAGAGAAATTAAAGACACCAATAAATGGAGATTTATCTATGACTCATGGACAGGAAGAACTAATATTGTAAAAATGTTCATTCTTCCCAAAGCAATTATAGATCCAATGCAATCTCTATCAAAATACCAACAGCATTCTTCAATGAACTAGAACAAATAGTTTTAAAATTTATATGGAACCACAAAAGACCCCAAATAGCCAAAGCAATCCTGAGAAGGAAGAATAAAGCAGGGGGGATCTTACTTCCCAACTTTAAGCGCTACTACAAAGCCACAGTAATAAAGACAATTTGGTACTGGCACAAGAACAGACCCACAGACCAGTGGGACAGAATAGAGAGTCCAGATATTAACCCAAACATATAAGGTCAATTAATATATGATAAAGGAACCATGGACATACAATGGGGAAATGACAGCCTCTTCCACAGCTGGTGTTGGCAAACTGGACAGTTACATGTAAGAGGATGAAACTGGATCCCTCTCTAACCCCATACACAGAAGTAAATTCAAAATGTATCAAAGACCTGAATGTAAGTCATGAAACCATAAAACTCTTAGAAAAAACATAGGCAAAAATCTCTTGGACATAAACATGAGCGACCTCTTCATGAACATATCTCTCTGGGCAAGGGAAACAAAAGCAAAAAAGAACAAGTGTGACTACATCAAACTGAAAAGCTTCTGTACAGCAAAGGACACCATCAATAGAACAAAAAGATACCCTACAGTATGGGAGAATATATTCATAAATGACAGATCCAATAAGGGGGTGACATCCAAAATATATAAAGAGCTCATGTACCTCAACAGACAAAAAGCAAACAATCCAATTAAAAAATGGTCAGAGGAGCTAAAGAGACTGTTCTCCAAAGAAGAAATACAGATGGCCAACAGGTACATGAAAAGATGCTCCACATTGCTAGTCATCAGAGAAATGCAAATTAAAACCCCAATGAGGTATCACCTCATACCATTAAGGATCGCCACCATCCAAAAGACAAGCAACAACAAATTTTGGTGAGGATGTGGAGAAAGGGGAACCCTCACACTCTGCTGGTGGGAGTGTAAACTAGTTCAACAATTGTGGAAAGCAATATGGAGGTTCCTCAAAAAACTCAAAATAGACATACCATTTGACCCAGGAATTCCACTCCTAGGAATTTACCCTAAGAATGCAGCAGCCCAGTTTCAAAAAGACATATGCACCCCTATGTTTATCGCAGGACTATTCACAATAGCCAAGAAGTGGAATCAACCTACGTGTCCATCAGTAGATGAATGGATAAAGAAGATGTGGTACATATACACAATGGAGTGTTATTCAGCCATAAGAAGAAAACAAACCCTACCATTTGCAATAACATGGATGGAGCTAGAGGGTATTATGCTCAGTGAAATAAGCCAGGCAGAGAAAGACAAGTACCAAATGATTTCACTCATATGTGGAGTATAAGAACAAAGGAAAAACTGAAGGAGCAAAACAGCAGAAGACTCACAAAACCCAAGAATGGACTAACAGTTACCAAAGGGAAAAGGACTGGGGAGGACAAGTGGGAAGGGAGGGATAAGGGTGTGGGAGGGAAGAAAGTAGGCATTACCATTAGCATGTATAATGTGTGTGGGGGGGCATAGGGAGGGCTGTGCTGCACAGAGAAGACAAGTAGTGATTCTACAACATCTTATTATGCTGATGGACAGTGACTGCAGTGGGGAATGTGGGGTAAAGTTGGTGATGGTGGGAGTCTTGTAAACATAATGTTCATCATGTAATTGTAGAGTAATGATACCAGAAAAAAACGATTCCTTGTGCAGATATAGCACATTCTGTTATCCATTCATCTGTTAATTGACATTTGCGTTGTTCCCATATTTTTGCTATTGTGAGTAGTGCTGCTATGAACATTCATGTACAAGTTTTTGTTTGAATACTTGTTCTGCATTCTTTTGGGTATATTCCCAGGAGTGAAATTTCTGAGTCATATGGTAGTTCTTTGTTTAATTTGAGAACCCATTAAACTGTTTTCCACAGCTTACATTTTACAGTTTACACACGTTTTACATTCCACCCAGCCAGGCATCAGGGTTCCAGTTTCTCCACATTTTCACCAATACTTTTCCTTTATAAAAAATGTTTTATTATAGACATTTTAGTGGGTTTGAAATGGAATCTCATTGTGGTTTTGGTTTGATTTTCACTAATGGCTAATGGTGTTGATCATCTTTTCATGTGCTTATTGCCCATTTATATGTCTTCTTTAGAAAAATGTTTATTCAAGTCCTTTGCCCACTTTAAATTGCGTTGTTTGTCTTTTGTTGTTGAGTTGTAGGAGTTCTTTATATATTCTGTATACTAGACCTTGGTCAGATAAATAATTTGGAAATATTTTCTTCCATTCTGTGGGTAATCTTTCCAGTCTTTTGATAGTGTCCTTTAATGCACAAAAGTTTTAATTTTGATGAAGCCCAGTTTATCTAGTCTTTGGTTGTTTCTTCTTGTGATGTCTTATCTTGCCAAGTCCAAGGTTATGAATATTTACCCCAGTATATTTCCTTCTAAGTTTGAGAATATTAGCTCTTATGTTTAGGTCTTTGATCCATTTTGAATCTATTTTATATATAGTATTAAGTAAGGATCTAACTCCATTCTTTTGGATGTGGATATCTAGTTTTCCCAATTCTGTTTATTGGAAAGACAGCCCTTTTCCCATTGAACTGTCTTGGTATTATTTTCAAAAATCACTTGTGACCACATATCCAGGTTTTATTTCTGGGCTGTTTGTTCTATTCTTCTGGTCTGTATGTCTGTCCTATACCACTATGTGTTTGTTCTCTTATGGGCCATTTTCATCTAATGATAGATGGCTGTGGTGCATGTCCAATCTTATAGCTATGTAGGTCAGACAGTACCTAGTTCCTCATGGGAACTCAGGCCGAAGGGTCATCTGGTATCATCTGGTGAGGTGTTTACTTTCTGCCAAGGCCCAGGAGCAAGCTAGAAGCTGTTTCCCAGAAGGCAAATAGTTATCTGCAGAAGAGGGCATAGATTTGCTCCCCAAACCCAGAGGTCTGTGCTGGAATGCTCCTTTTGGTGCTTGCCCATGGGTCTGCACAGCATCCTCACCTGCCATGGACATTTTAAGTATTATTGAACCTGCTGGATCATAAGGCCCAAATGGTAGAGTGGCTTGTATGGTGGTCTGCATTTGCTGCAGAGCCTGCTCTTGCTTTGAGTCCCATCTGAAATTGGCAATCTAATGAGAATTGCCGTAGCAAGCTCAGATGTGGTGTATGTTGCCTTGAAAATCCAAAAAGCGCCTGCAAGTGTTATGCCTCTTGTTTCATGGTAGGTGGTTTGAAGTACAGCAACTTGTCTTTCACCTTGCAGGGAATAGCTTGCCACGGTCTAGACCACTGAAACTATAACAACTTCACTGAGGTGACAGGGTGCTGAATTTTTGTAGGGATTGATTATCTGCTATCTCTAGTTTCCATGTTCTTCTAAAGCACCTAAAGTACTTGCTACTTCCTGCTCATCAGATCCAATGAATATATGGCCTTTTGGGTTTGCACCTCACTCATGGGCTTTTGTATTAGTCAGGGTCCAGCCAGGAGAAAGAAAGCAGACAGTGATTTGAACAAAGAGAAGCTGTACTGCTGTAGCAGCTTGCTGAGGAGGAACATGCCACAGCTGGGAGGGAAGACCTGTTCCTCATGCAGTATCTCTTTAGCAGCCTCTACTAACAAAACTTAACATTGTGCCAGCTAGCAAAGGAAAAACAAAGAGCCTGGTTCCATTTTCACAGAGTAGGCCCTGACAGGTAGACTTAGAATTGAGAGGCTCCAAATTGATAACCGCATAATTTGCCATTTGAAATGAAAGTTGCTCTGTACTGTTTCAGATGAAGCTGAACAGCTGGGATCTTGCTATGACAGCACAGTGTCCATTCAGTTAAATAATTGTTGAGCCCCATGCCTTACCCCTGCCATGTTCTATACATTACAGAGGCACAGAGATAAATAAAGAGTCTCTGTTCACAGGGAACTTCTGTTTTGCAGTTAATAGTCTGTTTCTAGTACCTCTTAATAGTTGCTTTGCCTGTTTGACCCTTGCCTTTGAAGTAAAATAACCTCAAAAATGCCTGCTCTTTAAATTAGGAGTGCCTTGTCACCATGTGCAGTGTGCATTTTACTTTTGCTGTACCTTGCATTTCTTTTTATCACACTACTTGATTTTACTCATCGCTTTATCTCATTCTGCCTAGAAAATGATATCCTATTACTGTAATTGATCCCTTAAAGCCTTGAGCTGTTTGGTCTCTAAGCAAAGACAAATAGAATTTTCTATGAAATCTTGATCCTTAAAAGATAGGCTGGGATATTTTAGGCTAAAGGATTGCCCATTGGGGAATGTTTAGGGCTTTATACAGAATGCAACTCCTTGTTTGACTTTCTCTCTTGGACAGATCTTGCTATCACTGCTATTACCACATCAGAACCACCTAAGAAATGAGATCAAAGAAGCTCTGGACATGGACCTTCTCAAGCAAAAAGCAGATCAGAGGACCCTGAATGTCCTTCAGCTCTCTCAGTACATTCTCAGCATGATGACTTTACTGTGTGCACGAGTTCGAGATGAAGCAGTGCAGAAACTAGAGAACGTTACAGACCCTGTTCAGTTACTGAGGTGTGAAAACTTGACTGCTGTCCCTTGAAACCTGCCTTAGCCCCTGGGCCAAGAAGAGCTGGGCCAGACATTGGATTAAAGTCCCTGTCTTGGCTGGCTTTCTCCTACTGAAGGCCTGACTAACTTCTATTTTTTTCTTCTCTGTGGCCTTTGAGCTTTTCTTTTCCAAAGATGGCCTTAGATTGATTGGGTCCTCTAAATTGAGCATCCTACCAAAAAACATTAGAATATGTAATCCTTCCAAGGAGTTCATGAATCCCTTTTCCAGGTTTTCTTGTTGCAGTGCACACAGTATGAGGGGACAAGGATGGGAGGCTATCCCTATTTCATACCTACAGAAACTAAGACATAGGAAGTTAAAAAGAAAAACCATGATTGGCCTAGAAACAGCGTGATCTCTAATCCCACTTCCCAGAGAGATTTTTTAGCATGCTGGTGTTTCCTTCTGACCACCTTTTTGAAGAGACAACAGAATGATCATTGTGGAAAGAGATCTAGCCCGGAGACTTCAAGGTCTAGAGGCTTACCTGTTCCTAGCTCTGCCACTCACTTCCTCTGAACCTTGGGTCCTGGGGCACACTATCATCTTTTGCAAATATAGGAGGCAGAACTAAGTTCTAAAATCCCTTCTCACTCTAGAATACAGTGATTTAATGATACCTTCTGTAGGTTCCCCTCTCACTAGATATCTTTCTTAATATAAATACTCTATTTTCTCCTATTTCAGTGGGATCTTCCAAGTTCTAGGCCTGATGAAAATGGACATGGTGAACTACACTATCCAGAGCCTTCAACCCCATCTGCAGGAACATTCCATTCAGCATGAATGGGCTAAATTCCAAGAACTCCTCAACAAGCAGCCTAGTATGTATACACTTGAGGGCAGAAGTGGGAAAATATGACCTTGGGTATGACTTTTAATATGTTAGTACTTTGCCTCTCTTTGGAACAGAAAGTTTCTTCTTCAGGTAGGGGGACAGAGAAGGAACACTTATCTAAGAAAGTTGCCCCCCAGCTCAAAGCATTTATTTATTGACTAGGAGTAAGTATACCTTGAAAAGAATCATAATCTTGAAGCCTCAGGGATGCATATACTGAAAACACTCTCGTCCCACCGCAGGCCTCCTTGATCACACCACCAAATGGCTGACGCAGGCGGTGGCAGAGCTCTCCACACCACCTCTGACTTCCCCTGACACTCCTGACTCCTCTCCAAATGAGACAGCCAGCAGCCCAGAGCCCCTCAGCCCCACAGCGGTGCTGTCCCAGGGCTACCTGTATCTTCTCTGGGACCCTGAAAATGAAGAGTTCCCTGAGGTAAAACTGGGTGGGCCATTGCTTTGTTTTGTATTCTAGGCTTCCACCAGGACCTTCCTATCCTGATAGCCTGCTCTTCCCTGCTTCCCCAGACTCTGCTGACAGACACAACCCGGCTGCAGGAACTGCAGTCCCAGTTGTACCAGTTAACCATTCTGGCCTCGGTCTTGCTAGTGGGCAGTAGTTTCTCTGGGCGTGTCCTGTTTGGTTCGCCTCAGTTTGTGGATAAGCTGAAACGTATAACCAAAGCCCTGATGGAGGAGTTTAACTCCAGGTGAGCTGCATAGATCTCTTTTAGCACAGCAGATATGCCATATGAGGACATAGGCAGGTAACGAAGGATTGCTTATGTTCTACCACAAACCAGAGAGGCTCTTCAGGACCAGCCATAAAGGTGGTTGGTAACATTCTGTAAGTGGTCTTGAGGCTTGTGACAAAGAGAAATAAAACTTTCGTTCAAAACAGGTCATGTGGAGGATAGTTTTCTACAAAATGACTCTATCTTTTTTGTTATAAAGGAGTCACTATCTAGTTAAGTGGTTGACCACAGTCTGGTTTTATGTATATCCAGGAGTTGAGTAAGTATACCTTGAAAAGTATTATTGATTGAGTACCCACTGTGTACAGGGGTGTCACCCCATATGAAAATGAGGTATCAGAAGGTCAGATTTGACCTTGTAATTGGTGACAGGGCAAATCACCATGGATAATGTTTTAGAAAGTCTTAAAAATGTATATACATATATATGAATAAATTCCACAGAGCTAAAGGATACTGAGTAGATACCAAACTTTTATTCAGAGTCAGTTTTGTAGTTTATATCGTTTTCTAAGAAGTAAAACATGGTATCCACGTATAGAGAATAGTTGGTATCCGCGGCATCACAGTGAAGACACTGAACCTACCCACTGGGCTGGGTGGCTACTAGGGGCTGGGCTGAGGCAGGGGGACGGCAGGGAGTCCCCATCAAGTGGGCCCAGCTTCTGGTGTGGCACTTCCCAGGGACCACCCGCTGGGCACCAGCTTACTCTCCTCCATGATCTAGGCCTGAGGAGGCTGTGCTGCCTGTGAGCAAGCAGGTGTCTCAGGAAATCCATCAAAGCCTCAAGAACAATGGCCTTGCTGCTCTGAGCAATGACAACACAGCATCTCTGATAGGACAATTTCAGAACATTGCCAAGAAGGAGGACTGTGTCTGCAGTGTCATTGGTGAGCATGCCTGTGGGATGGGGAGAACGCTGGGGCGAACTAGTCCTGGAAGTCGGTTACCAAGCCATTCCACAGGGAAAGGATGATCACTGGGCAAGTCATTAGACTGTAGCTTTTTCAAAATGCTGGGTTGAAATACATTCCTTTCAGTTTAAAGACTGACTCTGGTTTTAAGGAAGATTTGTACCCAGGAATTCATGACTTCTAGGTGTGGCAAACTGTCCAACCAACCTGGTTAAGTCATCACTGGCATTCTGGGTAATTTTCTGACTTAGTTCAAGACATGTGACATCTACCCCTTCCCCCAACCCTGCAACAAGAAACTGATGCTGAGTTAGGCTGAAGGACATACTCCCATACCAGGGATTCTCCTCATCCCTTGTTGGAATGGAGGGTGTGAACTTGGCCTTCCTCTTTACCTCAGCCATCCAAAGGATCAGTCTAAGATCCTCATGTTAAATGCTCACTAGGATTTAACTGATCAGTACTTAAGTAATCTTTTTAATAGGCAGAAATTTAATAGCACACAGTTTTTGATCTTTGCTTTGTCCTTGGGAGCTAGATACTGGATAGTCGCCCCCTTCTGAAACAAAATGAAACAGGTTTCCTAATCTCTAGGTGCGTGGGTAGGTTTGTGACATCTCAGTTAACTTAGAACTTTAGTGAGTAGAGTGTAGGGCCACTGTTTCTCCTGGCAAGTTGTCTGCCCTTTCCCAACTCACTGTCTTTTCCTGCTCACAGATCAGCAGATCCATTTGTTTCTCAAATGCCATTTGGTTCTTGGTGTGCAGTGGTCTCTGTTAGACCTTCCTGGAGGCCTTACTGTCATTGAGGCAGAACTAGTAGAACTGGGCCAAAAGTTTGTCAACCTGACACATTACAATTGGCAGGTGTTTGGTCCTTACTACATGGAGATCCTAAAAACCCTCATCACCCCAGCCCAGGCACTGGAAACTGAAGTGGAGTCTCTTTGATAGCACCAGCTCCAAGCCCTGGCACTTTGGACCCAGGAGAGAAGCCCATCATTTTCCTGGGGTGACACACCAGTGGCCACCAGAGCAGCAAGCCCTTCTTCCCTCCTGCAGCAAGTACACCAGCACCATAGTGATGAAGCATGTAAACACCAACTGGCCCAAACTCATTCACTAATAAACTCCTGAACTGCAAGCAAACCTCCACTCTTCCTGTACTGCAGCTGTGGCCAGGTTCCCAACTAGGAGAGAAGCCAGCAGGTCCCCAGTTTTTCCTCTACTGGTTAGGTGCTCTCTTTAGCATACAGAGCTGAGAAGCCAAGATGCCCAGGTGCTAGCATTACTTTCTGTAAGGGTAAAGCATTTCTCTGAGGGCTCTGAGAACTCTCAGTATATCCAAAATGTGAGTACAAGGGCATCTCTGGAAGTCAGAAACTTGTTTTGTTCAGTTCACTTCAGGATTGGGCATGGTTGAAAGAAGTTACTAGAAACCTCATTTCCAGGATGAGGTTCTTCTGAAGGTTTTAAATGATGCAACAAGAAGTCAAGAAATAGTAAGACCCTCCATCTTCCTTTTCTGTTACAAGGTCTGAAGCAGTGTGCAAACTGGGGCTGGATGAAATGGGTGTTGCTGCTAGCAAGTGTTCTGTTAAGGACGGGGTTCACAGGGTTTGTGGGGTTCCTCTCAAGTGTCCAGAGTTCAGGCTTGGACAGGTAGGTCTGAGCTGACTGACTTGGATCAAGTTTATCCTTGGTCTTGTTGACTAGCTGAGGAAGCTTCTTGTTCCCTCATCTCTAAGCTTAGAATACCCTGTTCCTCCTGACAGGTGGAGCAGCTTCAGCTTCCATCCTTCCTGCGACTTCCGCTCTAGGACTCTAATTGGCAGTTGTAGCTGTGAGCTCCGTGGGCATCACAAATGAGGGAGATTCTAGGAATCTACTTTTTATTCCTAACATTGTTTGTGTGTTTCTACATTTTTCTCATTATTACACTATTTTATTATTTGTATTCTTTTATCTTACTACATGTCTTTCCTGTTCTAGATTGTATTACTAACGTAATACTTTATTATTATATATTAACTGCATCAATCATGTATGTTTTTTTTTAAACTCCAGAATCTGACATCTAGAACATAGTCAGACATCTTTTACTCTAATATGAGATTTCCTTTGTTTACTCTTCAATCAAATACAGTGCACATCTTTGATACGGAGCATTTTCATTATTTTCTGTTGAAAAATTCTAATTATTCATTAGAAATATTGCCCAGTTTTAAAGTTTTTAATATTTAAGAATTCCTTAATGTACTGTTTCAAAAATATTGCTTAATGACTTAGCAGTTAATCCCTCTGAGTAAAATATTTCATATTTGTTAAAACTTTATTTCATACTGATTTATTTCAATCATTTAATATGTATTTTCAGTGATTAAACAATTTATTGTGATTAAAACTTAGGTTCAATTTGTTTTGACTATAGGTCAAGTTTGTCTATCATATTCAAATTTTTGAATCCTTAATACGTTTCATCTGCTTTGTCTACCAATTATATCTACCAATAATAATCTGTTGATATTCTTCATAAGAGTTTTGTAGTTTATGTCATGATTCTTTCTAATTTGCTTTCTTGAGTACTTCAAACATCAGTATCTCACACCACGCTCCCCACCACCCCTGAAAGAAAGGAACAATGACCTTCACTGCCAGATGCCCTTTCCTCAGCTCATGCCTGAACAAGCAGCAGCTCCACCATGGATTCATTTCCAAAGTTCAGAGTAGGTGGTTCTTGCTTACGCCTTTCTCCTCAGTAGGCTGGCTGGAATCATTACTTACCACAGAATATTCTTTCAAAGATCTGCAAAGCCTGGTTTGTTTCTTTATGATTCATATTCATTAGCTGCAAACTGAACCTTAAATACAACCTCTCAGATGCTTCTTCAAATGCCAAAGTTAACTGGCTTAAATTTTGACTTACTATTTATTAAATTCACTTTGCTCTGCCCAGGTCATTCTGTTGTAACCTGGGGAATATCTGAAATATGCTGTTTTCCACCCAAATAAGATAATATATTTCAATGACTTTCTTCTTAGGATTTAAGGCAAAATGGCAACACTTGCTCCTAGATGTCCTGCGTTTTCTAACATTCCCCTCCAGCTCCATCCAGGCCACTTGGGGCAGAGTCACTGTTTTCCCTTCTCACTTTCTGACCATCACTCAAGCTTATCCATTTCATTAAATTCCTCTTACACTTCTGTGCCCAGCTGGTTCTAAGGCAATTTTAATTAGTTGCTTTAAAGATATATACCTGTAAAAGCTTTCTGTCATCTCTAAATTATTAGAGGCCATGTATTCAAAATGAACTCTTAGACTGAATTCTCCATTGCAACATTTAGTAAATTGGCAATTATGAAAGTATTCTCAAAACCTTTTCCTTGTATCTGCCGTTCCTGCCACATGGCATTATCTGTGAGGTCAGAACCTGGTGTGTTGTTCACATTCCATAATATGACTGCACTGTGGGGCTTGACCCTCTGAGAGGGGACCAGGCAGGCAGGGGTCGAGGGGATGGTAGCAGGGCATCTGGATTCATGCAGGACTGCCTTAGTGGGTGTGGGGGGCATGTGTGGGCTCAGGCAGAGTGGCCTAGTGTGGCTGGGGGTGCTTATGGGTTCATGCAGGGCAGCCTGGCTGGAGGTAGTGGGAATGTGTGGACTCAGGCAGTGTGGCCCACACAGCTAACACCCCTGTGCACTAGGCCAGGATTGACTTCCAGCCACTGGGCAGAAGCCAATGAGACCAATTAGACGGGGCTTTTGCAGATCAGGTGCAAGGGGCACACCAGCCCAGCACCCCTGAGACCTCACCAAGCCCCCAAGTGCCAGGACAGTAGATGGGCCCATGCTCACAGCCTTCAGGTTCCCCAACAGTGAGGCAGGCCCTGGAGGGTCACACCTGCAGAGAGCTCCTGGCCAGCTCACCTGTCCCCTCACCTGTTTGAAAATTTAAGGCCCTACTGTCTCAAGATATGTACCTTTAGGTGAAATGGGTTTGTCTTGTGATGTGTTTAGCAAAGCCAAGGAGAGCCTGTACTGAGGGTAAGTAAGGGTACTAAGCAAAGATGTGGGGGATGTGCAAAATGCTTGAAGAACTGCCCCGGGGGAGATTCTGTACAATGAAGGTGCATAGATGAGTAGTTTTAAATATAGAGACTGCACTGAGCATCTTTCAGATTACAGTTCACCTACCTGTTTTATAGGTTTCTTGCATTTTCATGATTCTTGAAAAAACGAGAGGGTATGAGGGTCTGTTTCTGGAAAAATAAAAATAAAACTGCAGACATAACTCATGCAGAAATCTGAGTTCTGTGAGACTGGATAATGCAGAGATGGATACAGAACTCAGCATACCAAACATGCATATAAAGGATACACAGGGATTTTGAAAACCCTCACAGTCATCTACATAGATGATACTGCTAAACTTTTTGTATTCAAATGCCAAAGTTAACTGGCTTAAATTTTGACTTACCTTTTATTAAATTCTCTAGAGCTGTAGAACTATTTGTGTTTTGATTTGTTTTGCTTTTATAGCTTGGTGTCTCTATTTTCCTTCCACATAGTGTTTCTGCTTTCATCTATTCTTAAATCGAAGACCACATAATTTACTTATTATAAAGTCTTATGTGTAAAACCAAGACATGTATCCAGCAATAAAACATTCTGTGAATGTAGGTCATGATATCAGGGCTTTTTTTCTCCCCAAAAGTGGAATAATATACTTCTACACAGAAAAACTAAAATATGTTAATTTTTTAAAATAAAGATTTAATATTATTTTGATATAGTCCAAATAGTAAATCAAAGTACATAATTGTATTTTAAATAATTAAATTAAGATGGCAACTTATTAAATATATTGTTTCCTCTTAAACTGCTCAGTGGCTAAAGGGCAATGAATCAGCTTGCAGCTCTGCAACTTAAAAAAAACTATGGATTACCAATTTTAAGTGTTGCCAGCTACAATAACTTTGTATTAACTGATATTTGTGTTTGTTTTTCTCATATAATTATTTTATGATGTTCTGTATCTCCAAAATGTTTTCCCATATCTGTGGAAAATGTTTAGCTTGCACCACAGGATGCTTACTATATAAAGCCACTACTTCCAAGACCGGAAGGCATAGCTGATGTATCTAATACATAGAAACAAACACAGGGAACCAGACAGAGGAGGAGCCAGAGGAATATGTTCCAAGCAAAAAGAACAAGGCAAAACATCACAAAAAGTGCTAAATGAAATGGAGATAGGCAATCTATCTGATAAAGAACACAAAACAATGGTCATAATGGTGCTCACTGAACTGGGGAAAAGAACAGATAATCTCAAGGAGGATTTCAACAAAAGCACAGAAAATATAAAAATGAACCAGTCAGAGCTGAAGAATACAATAGGAAATGAAAACACAACAGAGGGTATAAGTAGGCTGGAGGATGCAGAGGAAGGAATCAGTGAGCTGAAAGACAGGCTAGTGGAGAGTGACCAAGCTGAGGAACAGGGAGAAAAAATTTCTAAACTGAGAAGACATGAAAAGATCTCTGTGACACCTCCAAATAAAACAAATACTCTCATAATAGGGGTTCTGGAAGCACAGAGAGCCCTTAACAAGATGAACCCAAGGAGGTCCACACCAAGACACATAGTAATTAAAATGGCAGAGATCGGCGATAAAGAGAGAATCTTAAGAGCAGCAAGAGAAAAGCAGACAGTTACCAGTATCTACAAGGGAAACTCCATAAGGCTATCAGATTTCTCAGCAGAAAGTTTACAGGCCATAAGAAAGGAGCATGAAATATTCAAATTATTGAGAGGGAAAAAGAAATCCTAAAACTGAGAATATTCTCCCAAGCAATGCTAGCATTCAGAATTGAAGGAGAGAGAAAAAATTTTCCATAGAAATCAAGGCTAAAAGATTCATCACTACTAGACTGACCTTACAGGATATGTTAAAGGGACTTCTTTAGATGGAATTGTTTTTAAATTGAAATGTTTCTCCTAAGTGAAATGTAGCTACCCATCACTTACAAAGTGAGTACAAAGTACATAAGGTGAGGGAGTTTGGTGTAGATTCAGGGCATTAGGGTTTGGTTTAGCTGGCGTTAAGCACAAGTAGTCCGTTTCCCCTGCCCCTCCATCTCTCTGAGGCCTCCAGGATGGACAGGACTTGCCCATGGTCACACATGAGGGAGGGTTAGGCTGGACTGGTGGTTTCCTGCCCTTCCCCATCTCAGTCTTGGGCTTTGAAAGGAGGAGAATGAAACGTCCACTCTGGTGCTGACTTCCAAGTCCACCTCCATCACATGTTTTGGAGGTCCCAGAAATCACATTTCCTCCTGCCCACCCCGGGCTGGGTGTTAATGGCTGTACTCCTGGGCAGCCCGAGGTGCCTGTCACACAAGGGCCCTTGGCAGGCATGTGTGGATTTATACAGGGCTGGGTGCAGTGACCTGCCAGCTCCCAAATGTTGCCTTCTTTAGGGCTGGCAGGGCCCTCTTGGGACTGGATGGATCCCTTTTCCTTTTCGGTGGGCAGCCACAGACAATCACATGTAGACAGGACAGTCCTTG